ATCGAAAGCGCGTTATTAGCATCTGAATGAGGCAGAGGCGAATCAGTCGAATCCGGTTCGATGATAAAGCGATAGTACCATCGATCACTAACCATTTCACTGAAATAATTCGAATGCAAATGCATCGAACCGACGATGTCGCCGGAATCTTTACTGCCTGCAGTCTCGCTAGCTTAGGCAAGGATCGGGCAAAGAAAATTAGTTGGAAAACACGAAGCGATATTTCTACGGAATCCTTGCTATAAAGAAGGATTTGATCGCTTCTGCTAAACTTTTTGAAACGTTTTTCAAAAATAAAGTCACGCGGTTAACATATCAATGTGACTTGATTTCATAGAAAATATTCTTTCTTCTTGAATTTTATAAAAGTTACGAAAAACGATATTCAGTTATACATGATTTCATACGAAAAATAAAATTATTCTTTCTCAGTATTTGAGATATACATTACAGATAATGTTTTTGCGAAAAGAAATTAATTTTAGCGACTGATTTACGACAGTTATACAGATTATTAACTCAAACTTTAGTTTAGACAGTAAGAAAAATATTGAAATTGGCTTGCATGGATCCAATTAAATGGAATTCTACAATTAATTTACAAAAAAATGTTCTATTTTTTTAATTCCATAAAAATAATGAATAACGATGTTGATTATGTATGATTACATGATAAAAATAAAATATTTTCTCGTTATTTTATGAGATATAAATCTTACAAATAACGTTTTTATGAAAAGAAGTTGATTTTAATGATTTACTGTTGATTTACAGTTATAAAGAGTATTAATTTAATTTATGGTCTGTTTTCTGTTCCTGCACTAGACTCTTCTAGAACTCTCTTTCTCGCTTTAAACAAATATCAAACGTATATCTATCTCACTTTAAGTTCCAAAAGTACACTAGTTCAACCACAGAAAACAGACCTTTAGATAACAAAACAGCGAGCAAAATTATCTGCATAAATCAATATAAATGCGATTCTACAATTAATTTAAGATAGTAATAGTATATATAGTCGCATATAATGAACAGTAGATAATAGAGAATTACGAATGAATGAAGTTCATTAACGAACTATTTAACTTCTTGATATTCGACGCTTTCAACTTCTGCAGATGGAAGTAAGTCATTCGTTAAAAATAATTTGGAATATCGACTTGCTGATAACAAAGTTGCCATCTAAGTTAGCATTTCTAACTTTATAATGACAAAACGTAATTGCCATCATGTACGTTAGTACACTGTGATGAATTGTGTAAAGTGCGAAGCTGATTGCAAGACAGGGAGTAAGGCTATATGATTAATGGCCAGTATGATAATGCATTATTTTGTAAAGCGTATTGCTAGTGTAGGTCGCAGTGGAATTCCCTGACTCGCCAGAAAATGCTTTTTAATAAATTGCGACACAGGATAAGATATGAATTACCGATTTTATAACTTAGATTTGGTACACGTCATATAAGTTTTATTATCTAGCAAGAATTAATTATTTTTATGAATATAGTCTTAGAACGGTTTGTTAGAAAAAGTGAATTAATTATAAATGTACAGCACTTACCTTCCATTTTGTGAAAAAAAAAAGAATAGAATTAGGTTGGCATATATTACATGTTACATTTAAATAAACGATCCTGTATTGTGACAAATTTGATTGGTATACAATGGTTTACAAGGGAGTCGATCGTATCACGCCACGGGATGGCACGGGGAATAACGAAAGATTGAATCGAAGGTACAAGCGTAAGTGGAATGCAGCGATGAATGAAAGCGCAAACTGGAAGACGCTATTTTTTCTGTTCTCTCCCTCTTTTGCCATGGAAATACTTAATTCTTTCGCGCGATCTCGTTCCATTTACACATGTCAACGCTGCGCTTGTCGGTGCAAGTTCAGAAACATGTTTTTCTTGTGTATTACGTGGATATCTACAAACATTCTGCTCGAGATAGAGATCTTATAAATTGCATTTTGCCTCAGGAGTTGTCATAAAGAGACCCCCTTCTAGACAGTACACGCCGTCCATTGGATGTTCAATAGACGTCATGTGCTGTCTGGGTTTTTACAAAATTGGACATTTTGCCAGAATATCGATGAGCATACTGCGGCAAGTGCAACGAGCAAAATGAAATGTTTATTCGATCGTCGTGACGTATAAAAATGGAGATTAATCGATTGAATTGCGAAAGGTCTCCGAGGTTTCTGTTCCTGCTCGGAGCGACATGTAATCACACAGTTACACATGTAAACGTAATCAAGTAGTTACATAAAAACGCGAAATAGTCTCTACACCTTTCCTTCGGATGGTAATCTGGATTAACGTTTGCAAATGTACTTTAACATCAATTATTAGAGATCTTTAGCAGACTCATCGGTTTATTTCGACGTAGTCCACTATGTGATCCAATCGAAATCCAAGATGTTCGGTAACGTAGAACCATCCATCGAAGAGATGCATCATCGGATTTCTACCGATGGAGGACGAAGGGGATTTTTGATGGGTTATCCGTTACATTAAAGATTTTCACGCGCAGTTCCGTGTGCGTGGATTGTTACATTGCTTCGCGACTTATTTGTCGGTTTTCCGTAGTGAGCTCGGGGATAGAAAAAGTGTCACGATGAACATCAACACGAAAAACGTTAACGGTAACGGACGATCAGGACGCGTTGCGATCGCAAAATGCGTCATCGATTTTGTTCGATTATCTTAAATCACTCGCACGTGCGTTTCGCTCTAACGTGCTATCGATTGCGCGATATACACTTGTCAATTAATCACACTGGATACTTCGACATTGTCTTGGGAAGGTTTTTGTTTTCGCTCGACGCTCGATCCCTTCTGAGCTGCTCTTCGTAACATTATTACGTACGACGTTTATCATTATTTTTGTTTTTTTAACGACTTAATATCCGATATACGCATTATCTATCGCTTTATTATCCGGTGATAGATAACAATTATTCGTAATAAGAAAGTCTGACGATATGATAGGTTGATCGCTCTCTCGATGGCCGCCACGAATAAATCTTTAAAAAAGTGAAAGATATTATTTCCACGTTTTACGATTATATTATTACACTGAAAAAACGATATTATATTAACAGTATTGTATTAATTGAAAATAATTTTGTTAATTTATAATAACACCATTAATAAAACAAGTGTCATATTTTTGTTTTAATAAAATTTTATTTGTTTCATTAATGCTGCTGTTAAATCAATAAGATTATTTCTAATTAAAATAATACTGTTGATATAATATTATTTTTTTCAGTGTAGTACAATTTATTTTATCACACAAAATTTCTTTTAAATTCCTATTGTTTTCATACCGAATTCTAGATAATTGAGTTCTATTGATATCGTATCACAATATCTATATATAAAATTTATCAAATTTAACATACTGTTTTTTATTAAAAAATTTGAATTAATAGTTCGTTGTAAGACTATTTTTATTGAGTGTATACCAAATGGAATGACGAGAATGTCGTATAGAAACTTTCAATAATCACAAGACGCAACGTGAAAGGACTTTCGTGTTAAATTGGCAATCCAATCTTTGATATTTACAACTGGGAATTGGAAATTCGCGTCACGTCGCGATTCATCGTGTATTTGTATGGGCAAAACGAATACCTTGGAAAAAGGAAATTCAGCTTTACACGTGGCGGCACGTAATTTGGCTACCGATTTCCCCCGCCGTTTTACGTCCGACACTGAGGCGAACTAAATTGCGGTTGCAGATATTTTTATATGCGGCAAGCGTTCCCGAATTGTTTTAAAATTCAGCACAGTTCTAATTATCGATTGAGTTTATATCGTACTGACAGTTTCCATAAAGTGTTGTGTTCATTTTATTTTGTTAAAATTTATGCATCGATTCGTTGATATTTCAATAAATATATTCCAATATAAATAAAAATTAATTGAAAATATAATTTATTGTTAATTTGATCTTCTTGCATGTTTCTAATATTAATTTATTTAAATGCACCGCGCTAATAAAATACATTACCGCTCAAAAATGCTTCTCCTCTCTGTCGTCTTTAATAAAATAAAGAAGATTGAATTTCAACCTTTTTTTTTTCTAATCTTCTAGATGTTATACTTAATAATATTTCTAATCATTTTAAATTTTACACTCTAAATATATAAAGAAAATATAGTAGAATTAAGACTTTAAGTGTATAAAAGAATATATACCAAAATCGAGAGGGTAAATATTTTTGAGCAGTAGTGTGCATGAAACTTTATATAAGAAATATCAGTACATCGGTATTTTATTAATATATCTCAAATATATTAAATAAAAAACTTGATGTTAAATCATGACAGCTGATCATTTTGATTACTTAATGCCATTTAAATAATTGTCAATTATATAAGTTCTATAAACATTCAATTATTATTAGATTTGTTAAATAATATTTCTTTTCTTATTATATGTTAGTATTTTTTTACATATAAAGTGGCACATTGAAATAACGCGAATATCGAATTCCGATCGATGAAGTTTTAAAACTGGCTTGCATAATTATAATCTGCGCTTTCGAAAATGCACATTTGTGCATTTATAGTGCGTCTGTCGTAGATAGATAATAATAATAATAACATCGAACTATACGGGCGGGAGATATCGTCTCTTGGCACGAAAACCATGGGCGTAAACGTCGTTTTTCAGGCCAGATCACGACGATCCGTCAACGCACGGTAAGTTCCATCGCGAGACGGCTTTGAAGACAATTAGAAAATACACGAAACGAGAAGCGGAAATACTTGCGTCCATCTATTGATCCTGATCGGCGCGATCTGGCACTATTAGGTACTTATAACGCGTTTACACGATTAACCTAAACTCATATGTTTCACACACGCATTTCGCTATAATTCACGCGCTCGCACACGATTTCTTTCTCTCTCAATAAACGTCTATAAGTATGTATATTTATATTTGTATTTATATTTATATTTATATATATTTATATATTATATATACTATTTCGCTCTTAACATTCACGCATCGGTGCGATTGTACACCCATTGTCTTTCAGTTAAAAAACTCATGACTCCGCCGTTTGCGGCGCCAGACTCCACTCTCGCATTGCACAAAATAGTTACCCCCTTATACACGGTAATCGATAATTGTAATTTATAGTAATAATCATAATAACTAGTCATAATAATAAGAATAATAGTAGCGTCGTCGTCACGATCGACAGTCTCTTTTGGCACGTGACGTTTCTAAGACTCGCGATGGCGGACTTTCGCCCCACCGCGAATATTCTTCTATTTCCACCCGCTGTTTTTTTTTTAATCATGCGTTTCGCGCATATCATGGCAGTAAGTGTGTTGTTCAAGTTGCTGGTTGCACATGCACCCATCCCAGGACCATTATATTATCGCAAAATTGCGGCGAACACATTATCGTCGCCGATAATGAATTCGTTATTTTTTGATTTTTATTTGATTCTCTCACGGTTATTTACAATGTACAAAGGATTCGGTCGAACTTCCGCCCCTGTTCTCGTCGCCGATGTAGATTAGCTTTAGAGCTTAAGAGATATTTCGATATTCTGAGGCGACAACTTTGCGGCGACGAAAGATTCCGCCGATGGAAAATGTGGCTGCTCCCTCTTCAAATCTGAAGCCCACGATCTAACATATGTCCTACACCCACTTTATTTCATTTTTATGTCACTTTATTCTCGAATAATTAAAGAGTTCCAAGAATGTATATTTTTATAATAAGATAAGAATAATAATAAGATGTAATAAAATACTTTTAAATTCCAATATTAATCTCTTAATGTGTCGTTTTAAAAAATGGCAGTAACATCAATTGCTACTTTCCGTAAGTAGAAAGATTCGTGAATATTTCTTCAACTAGATATATTCCTCAAATCACGTGACCTCAGTGGAGAAGACAGTAGCCGCGGAGAGGAGAATAGGATAATACATTAGGTTCTCAGTGCGGTTTATTTCATCTGCCGGTTCTATCCGGTTCTATGCCGGTTATCGAATAATTCAAAGACTCGAGTAATGCGATTCTTCGCGATTCAAACGTACCCATAATCCAATTGTCCTTTGCGTAACTCTGTATCGAGATAATCGTATTCTCCAATATTTATTAGAGGAACTAGTCTCTTAACTTTTTCTAAATCTTATAATTATAACGCATTGTTATTGAAACCGATACAAAATGTCCGGTACTGCGTTAAAAGTATTACAGCGAAGAGACAATTTTTCTTCTTTTAATTCCTTAGAATCTTATAATTATTGCTCTATAAAAATATCAGTGCTTCCATGTTTTAATTGCTTCATCACTCGAGCTTGGATTATTCGACTTTTGGACAAAATCGCAAAAAGAGGGTTTCCTCGACAGTGTTCAAACATTGTAGCGATACCCCAACAGTTAAGATCGCCACGACGAAAAGACGCCGATTGTTTCTTCGTTGATTTAGCGTCTAAGTAATGTATTCCGGCTTATCGTTGAGGCCGGACCAGTGTCGTGGGGATGCTGGTGTCCATGGCACCGCTACGTCGAGAGCCGCGATGCTGCTGAGCTTCCGTTGGAAAATGAATTTCGGGCTCTTAGACTTCTTCGGGCTCTTCGGTGGCGATTCCGCGAAGGTCACGTTCCTTCGTGGTCTCCTGGGTGGCGGGGGTGGTGGCGGTGGTGCCACCAACGGTGGCGGCGGGGGTGTGGGTAGCGAATTTGCGGGCGAATTGTCGCTCGGGCTTTCCTGGTAGCAGTTTATACCTGGGTATGTGTGTTGCTGTGTACTTGATCGCTCTCGGTGTTCCCAATCGCGTTTGCTGGTGCGTAATACTGGAAATTTCAATGTTGACGATTAAACAGTGTTAGACCCGCTTGAGCTAACAACCTTCTATAACTATTGCAGTTTCTCAATTATCGCGGAATTAAAAAAATTTTTTGGAAATAAATCCAAAACGGAAAAGTATAATTTTTCTTTCAATTCTCTGAAATACTATTTTAATCTTTTATTATTGGTTATTTAAATTATAAACAAATTATAAACGAATTTTTATTCGGAATAACGTTAAATATATTGAATTAATTTTTTTCAGACATTCCCGACAGCAAATAATGTTAATACTTTATCACAAATCATTAAATTTTAATTGATGCAAGTTATAACAATTTTAAAGATAATTATACATCACAGATGATTTGAAACTGAACAGTATACGATGATGTACTAGCCCAGGCATGCAAATTGATAAAAGGTATCTTATGTGATAAAATTTCAGGTGTAGTAACAGAATTATAAATACGTGAAAGATTGCAAAACTATAGGTGTGTGATTTTCTAACATGAATAGGGTTTATTATTTCTTCGCCACGTTCTGTATGGCTTATGTTAATAATGTTATTTCACTACGATAGATCTTTAATTCTAAATATAGATATATAGATTCATTCTCAATTTCATTCTCGTTCGCAATAGCAATTGTTGCTGATGCAAACTTGGATTAAAACAAAATCCTTTGTTTTAATATATTATTGTAGTTTAATTCGAGTAGAGATCGAAAATGTATTACAAATTATAACGATATTGGCGTTATAATTTGCAACAATAGTACGAAATAAAAAAGAATTTTGTTCGCTTCGAACTTCACAGGCGATCGATGGGACACATATGTACGCCGACACAAAGAAAATGAATCAATAAAAGCAATTCCGAATTTACGCATGTGTCTGTCGCTTGTTTATAAGTTTTGCATAATAAACTTGAAAAGCGTTACGCATTACACTTCGTTTGCCGCGGTGCATTCTTGCTTAAGCCATGCCAAATAAGCACGCATAAATTATTTACAAAAATCGAAATATTTAACAAAGGAAGCATTGAATGAATAAACGTGGAGAAAAGTTAAGGATAGATAATGCGAGTTTAACAATACACGCAAGACAAATCAATCGAACAACCCGTAAGAAAACATTTTGCAGTTATATGTAAAAAATAATAATATAATATTTATTTGACGCTCATATTAAAATATTAAAATTTCTGACCGTTTTTATCAACCTTCCTCAACAGAATTTATTGCTAAAATCCAAAGATTTATTATTAAAGAACTGTTAGAAATAAACGTATTGCTTTAATAACAAATATGAACGAATATGTTGCGAAAGATTGTTAAAATTGAAAACCAAATAAACCATCCGTTATCAACTGCAAAATGATAAAAAATTCGAGAAAAAAATAGCTTTTTTGCATATAGATAAATACTATCCAACTCTGAAAGGAGCATAAAGGATACACCGTGCAGATATATCCATACACCGACGTAGAAATGTACGACGTAGGAACGTAAGAAAATTAGAGATCTTCAAAAAATTTCCTGTGTAGTTCTTGATGCACCATGGTCTCTTCAGAATCATACCTTCGGCGCGAACGTAGTCAATGTTGGTACCTCCGCAGCCAGTACTCGTTTCTTCCCGCGCTGTGAAAGGAATCAGTATTACAAAAAACTGGAATTTTCGTGAAGATCTCAAATTTTTCTTAAGTCCCTACGTGTCTTTGTTTCTTTTCCTTTATGCATATTTAAAACTTTTACGTGGAAGCTAATAATGGTGTTAATGAAACATTTCTATCGGACGATGTTTTGTGGGATTAATATGTGTCGATATAAATATATTATATTTCTTTAGAAGTAATTGTATGTTTAGAGAGACATACGAAGAGACATTTGTATATACGTGTGACAGGCATTGATTAACCTTCGTCAAAGGACAGATAGCATTCCAGGATTTGGTGGCAGTGTAACCCAAACCGCAACTAATCGTGCAAAAGCATTTGACACGGAAAGCGAAAGAGAAAGATAAAATGAGGAAGATTTGAGACGGAAAGTGAAAGAGAAAGATAAAATGAGGGAGACTGCAATAGAATTAGGAGAAAGCAAAGATAAATACGAAATGGGATAAAAATAAGGGTGAGAGTACTCACATATGGTCCCGGGAAAGGCGCATGCATCCTCCGTCTAACTCTGCAGTCCGTACCACTAGAGACAAAAACCCAAAGTAGAACGAAACGCAAACGCGAACGAGCAAATTTATACGCCCCCCTGCCGTACGTTCTTCCGAGTAAAAAAGAAAGAGACGAGAAAAACAGAAAAGAGCGCAATACATCCAGCCAGCCGCACATCGCACGCACGTACGCATACATATGTAGGTATATACATATATGAAGAATATATGTATGTCAATATATTGAACGGTCTTAGTCCTCTGGTCGATCAGTCTCTTCGAGACTGAAGGCTGAAACTCTGGGATATTAAATGCAGCCAAGTTGAGACCGGCCATGTAACTAACGAGAGTGTGTCAAACGTTTACGCTGCTAACTGCATGCCAAGCGTTACTCTATATATTGTTCATCTATATGTATGGATATAATGTATAGGTTTCATGTATATATGCGTATGTATAATGTACGATGCTCTTGTTGCGAATGTATATATGTTTTATGATACATCGATACCTTTGGTTCGAGACCGAAGTAATTGCGCGACAAGACGCATCGCCGATCGAGAGCACCTGCGTATCTTTTCTCCTTTTTTATATTAACATGTAGTTTACAAAGGAGAATTCAATAATTAATATCGAGAGAACGTTCGCAGATGCGTGTTATCGTAATAAACAGCCCCATTATAGATAATAACAATATTACAATGTATTTAATGCACGATTGCGCAAGGTGCATTCGATAGACTGTGCGTGTTTTATTATTAATATATACAAATACAATATTGTACAAACATGCTACTTGTATGTTTAATATCCTAAATAGTTCGATATCATGTATCATTAAGCAAACTAACGTTCAAACGATATTAAACAAATATTGTCGATCATTATCACTGCATTTATTTTATCTTCTTTGGATCAGCAGCGCGTTTGTCGAAGCGTCTCTGACTAAATAATCTCTACTGATACCGTATGCGAATATGCGTATGCGAACATATTAATGAAAGATTTGATTACTATCACTTACCCGTCCATTGTCGAAATCGCGACCACCACCGATAGTAAGTCGTGCTTTCGCCTTCATCGCGTCCGACAGCGGTATCTAAGGAAGAATTACATTTTAGAAATTTTATCATGAATAATCTCTTCCCTAATATTTTTATACAAACTTTATAAGATTAAATAATGAAATATTTCATTATTTAATACCGAAATAAGATATTAAATAATGGAACAATTAATTGAAAATATTACATTAGTAGTCAGTTAGATGTTGTAAATACAATAACGATTTAAAAAAAGTTAAAATTAGTAATTAATTAATAAAATTATAAATTGGTGTATTATATAAAAATATTAGGAATATTTTGATTTTATAATGTAATTTAATTATAACAAAATATATAAAATTACATTCCTTTGATATTACCTTCGCTCTTGTCGCCTCTGTGTGCGACTTATAGCAGAATTCCAAGAGAGCTACGGCGAGTGCCAGAAGAAGGCCACCGATCAGGATATAAAATATTCCCGCTACATTGCTCAGCGATAACTCGTTTCTGGTAGGATCTGGCTTATCACCATGCCTGCATTCTGTTCTTTCGTACCACCATCGTTCGACTAACTTTGCCAGTTCTCCATTCTCCTTCAGAGAAAGCACCGCCAAATTTATGGGATCCCTGTCATTGCCAAATTTACGATATCGTATTATTAAGTAAAAAAACCATCAAATAAATAGTATATAAGATATACGTAGCCACAGAAAAAATATCGGCATGAACAAGATTTGTAATAGTATTATTTTATTGCAATTTCTTGTCAGGTAACTTCGCGATATATTTACCTCAGAACACACACCTTCCAAAAAAATTCTGAAAACGCACCCCATAAATCTGGAAGACTCACTAAAACTTTGATAAGCTGTAACTTCGAGAGATTCAGACTAATATTTTTAGATTCTTTTTTCTTTTAATTAAAGCTCTGAGATTTATATTCATAGGAATATACTTGTAGGTTGAAATGCCAAAAAGTTTTATGTTGTTAAGTTATAAAATAAAACTTTCTTTTCTTTTCTTCGTGTTTTTTTTATTAAGCAAGTGAAATTTCGATTGGGTCTAGGAGATTCAAATGTGCGTGTGTTCCAAAGTTGAAGTACGATTTAATTATGTGCGAAAGAGAGAGTAAGTAGTCGGAATATCGAAATATCATAGTAATGCGTCTAATCAGATTTGTAAGAGAAAGTCAGGGGAACTTTCTTTAATTAAGCTTGGGGAAATATCGGTACTCTACGAAGTTTCTGCTTCAAACTACAAGGAGAGGAGTTTTCTCGACTTGAGGAAAAAAGATTAATAGGACGCCTTGGCGCCATTATTCTTCGGTAGGTGTGTAGGTAGACATAATAAAGCTGCTGTTTACATACCTCCCCCCAATTACCTGCCTTGCGAGCAACGTTCTTGCTTCGACAATCTAAAGACAGCGCGTGAGTCGCGGATATACGAGATCAGAGCGTAGCACAAAACGTCAAGGGGGAGTTGCGCGGTTAAAAAATCAATAACATGCAAATTTGCTCGTATTACCGTCGCAGCGGTATACTTGCTCTAGTCACATTATGAAGATTAATGGACTAACAAATACTTATTCATAGATTTTTCTAATTTCCTTTACTGTAGAAGATTGGATCGTAAGTATTGTTGCAACATAAATTTCATTCCTGCATGTGAATTTTTATTGTTATAGATTAACGAACTGATATAAATTTTATTACATGTAAAAAAATTCAATTATTTTGAAAATTTTCTTTCTTCTTTTTAATGTATGCATGGAAAGAGAAAAATGTATACATGTGAAAATCATAACATATTTGAGAATTTAAAGGATTTAATTTTTAAAAGATTGTATACTTGAGGAATTAGTAATCATTAAGTATTTAATTTATAAAATTTAAAATAATTAAGTTAATATTATTATTACTTTAGTGTTAAAAATAATATTTAAACTGAAATATTAGCTTAAAAAAGATTACAATGTTAAATTGCTCAAAAAAAATTTTCGAATAAAGATATAAACAGATCTTATACAAATCGAAAGGTAAATGTTAATGCGCTGTTAAAACACGATACGAAATGGCGTTGGTTGATGATGAACGTGTTCTATAATGGGTAATGGCATGGAAAAGAGAGTACGAGTTTTTCTATGCTAATTGTGTGTAATGATGTGCGATGACATTCCGAACACAGCGAAACGAGAGAGAAGCGAAAGGCCGCAAAAAGATTTAAAAGAAACAAAGACGATGTGATCGCATGAAAGAGTGATAAAGAAAGAAAGGGATCTCTGTTTCACTTTGATGACTACAAAACCTCGTTAATTACCTACTCTCTCCTGTTTGTTCAACGAAATATATCAAAGGTCTTCTCTGCCGTCTGATGAGATACGGAAAGTGCAATAATTGTTAACGCAGATGTGAAATTATTCTGACGGGTCTACTAATTTACATTATAATTCATGCCGCAAAGTAACTTATTGTTTAGAATTACTGAAGCATTACTGTATAGATGCATAGAAAAAAATATAAGGCAATCACTTAAAGTTATATATTTTATTGCAATATTTTTTGCGTTTTTAATTTTACTAGCATTATTTTATTAGCAAAGTCTAAAGAAGTTAACTTTTATGGAGAGCTTTCTGAATATTGCCAATGAATACTCACCTAAGTGGAGATCCTAGCGGTGTCGCGACACCAAAACCTTTGGCATCGAGATTTCTCCCGACCTTCATCGTGTCGCAGGGCTCTCTCTCGTTGATGTAATCGTTCATCGGGCTTTCTAATAAAAACGCATATTTGCCTTTACTTGTTCTCACTTTTTCTATTCCTTCTTCATATGATTGTACAAACACGTCTCTCCGCGAGTTCATAAATTCCCACATCTTGTTGTAGAGATTGATTTGAGATTTCTGCAGACGAGCGAAAAAGGAAAATGAATGCAGATCGATAATGAAGCGTGCATTGAAAATTTAATGACGTTTGTCTAATTTGGAACAGGTTAAACATTTCTCTTGAATATTTACCCGAAAAAAATCCAGAGTGGTACCATTAAGGATGGTGCCATATTGGACCTCCGTCTGTGCCGCTAAATCCTCGGGTGAGTTAATTGGCGTGACCATTCTCTCGATGGTTAAAAATGCGGCGAGATTTGCGGTGTAGGAGCATATTAAAATCAAAGTGAAGAACCACCAGACGCTGCCAGCTATGCGACCAGATATGGATCTATGGATTGAATTATTCGGGAATTATTGATTTAAAATAAATAGTAAATATATTTGTATACACACACACACACACACACACACACAAAATATGAGTACATAACTCATAGATATAGATAGTAGAACATTGAAATATTGAAATATAGACTTCTTTTATTATATGTAATATGTAAATTTTAAAGTAATGTATAGATACTGTGATATCACAGTTTACAATTAAATAAACTAGCATTCACTTTATCCGTGCGTTGCATAAACTATAGATCTTTCTCTAGTCGGTACAATTCAAGTCTTACTACTCGCAAACAAGAAACACGATATCGTTAATTATGTGTGTACACATCGGACTTAGATTTGTGCAGGATGAGCATCGAGATCGCGCGCGAGGGTAGTCCAAGGAGAAGAGGAAGAGAAGCGCAGAGAAGGAGAATGGAGGGATGGTGGTCGTTCGCGCGGGTTCCACGAAATTTACAATTCATATCGCCACCGCGCGAATATTTAAACCATTAATCAAGAGGGTTACTAGGATGGGGTGGTGCACTGGATACAGCCAAATGTAAATTAATTGAGACCCAGTTTCGGAGTGAGCACGCGGTCTGTTTCGCGTAAACGACAAAATGCGCGTACTCGCAACGTTTACTTTTGTTGCAATTCTCTACCAATGATATACAGTTTTATACGGTTTCTAAAACTGAATATTAAGTTATTATTGTTACTTATATCGCAAAAATTATGACTGCAGAAGACTGCCAAGAAAATAAATAGTAAAACGTTGTACAAAGATATTTTTTTAAATTTTAACGAAAAAAAAAGAAAAGAAAATATTTCTTAATTTTTTTCATCTTTTCGTTGTAATAACAGTCATAATACATGTCAATCTGTATGTATATATTGAATACTTGAAGAAACAAGAGAGGGTATGTGATTTGAATTCTATCATACTACTGCGTAGCGTGCTTTAAAGCACAATATAGCATTGCCACGTGAATATTCTATTCATGCTGGACTCCTATCCAACTACAATGTTTTGAATATGCGAGCAAATTATGCTTTGTTTATAGATGTGGCACTTGTCTGCAGCCTGAAGTGTTTGTTCAAAATCGTTACCCAACCCGTGATTATATTTCAAGAAATGTACTGCATAATGAAACATTTCAGAGTTAATGTTAACGCAGATGTCTTTGAAAAAATAGTTATCGACAATTACTGTAATAGCTTTGGAATTCAAAGAAATTGTTATGTGTTGAAACTGTAAATATTTCATAATTAATTATAAAAATGAATTAATATTACAGAAATTCTTGTTATACGAATTCGCTCGTGTCGACTTCGACAGACAGTTAATTCAAAAATGCGAAATTTATCGAGCTCCGAGACAGCCGAGAGAAATTTTTCTCTTTAGTTCTTTAATGCTCAACTTCTAAAGACCCTCTTCATAATTCATAACTCTTTAATTAAAAGAGAAAAGAATCTTTTTATTATTTCTGATATGATTTATTTATTGCCAACTTTTATATATTTTCTTTCATTTAAATTTTTAAAAAGATTCTCTGTGAACTGTTTTCAAGCCCATTTAAAAAATTATTTTTTGTGACACTTTGTGTAGTTTGTATAACTGAAAGATGCATTTAAATGTATTACATATAAAAATATTATTGAGAGAACATTAAGATTTAGCTTCAACCGTGGCTCTTTTCTTACTTATTTCAAATATTTTTTATTATAATATTGATTAAATAACTTTCAAAAAACTCAATTAATGCCATTTTATAAGATCAAATATTATATATTTGAAAGAAATTATCATATGATTATAGTAATATGTAAAATAAAATTAATAAAACATTAAAGGATATGCAATATTTTTTTTTACTATATGTACCGTGAATTTTTGCATGTGCGACATATTTTATTCAAATGAGTTTAGTCTCGCGCGGCCATAATCATTTAGCGATTATAAAGCCGATCTAAATTATGCGTTGCACAATAAGGTCGCCAATTTTATTGCGAACGTAGATCTGATTTCTTTTTGCAAATTATAAACTTGCATTTAGTTAACATAATTTGAATTAGAATTGTTTTGCGCAATGCCGATCTAATCAATCTATGCTTACTCAAGCTTTATGTTATTAAAAACAAGCATATTTTGATTGCACTATATTATCAATCTTAACGAATAGAGTAATTTGTAGCATGGACGTATTTATATAGTACGAGTGAAGCAGTGCACAAGATAAGAATGATTGAAATGTTTGCTAACGAGAGTATAATGACGGCACTGATGATAATAACACGTGTTTATCGCGAAAATAATGGCGAAGTATATTTGCGAGTACTCTAAAAACCAAACGTATGCTTTCTATAGTACTTGTAGTAATCGTGCGTGCCTTTGGAACAACGAGTGTTACAAAGGATATCAATAATGAAAGATTTTCAACTTCTGATACGTATGTATAGGTATATATGGCACGTCCCAGAAACCCGATTTTAATTTTAACAACATGTATATATATATATATATTCATGACGGTGGAATCAGTTTCTTGATATAAGCTTCTTGTCCTGCATATAACGCAAATGGAATAATCGGGGTCTATAAAAAGAAATGATTAAAATTATTTATTTGACCGTATTTAGCACGAAGTATCTTCCGAAATGCTGTAAAGAGCTTTTTAAGTCAAACGTTCACCTGCGGAGAGGCGCTTTAACAATTTACACGAGAGATTTTAAACGTCAACTGGGAAGCTCTTAGAATCTTACCCGATTCATCCTATTACCAGGCTGTACGCTCGACCTGTCCCGGGTAAAGGGAGCTATTCTCCCTGTGCCTTTATGTACTTACCTGCGCTTATACCGCGGATACGGAAACGGAGGGAGGCAAGAGTGGGCGGCTATAATTAGCCGAGAAGAACGTGGGAGCTACTTGCGCACACTGTTCTCTCTCTCTCTTTCTCATTCTCTCACAAGTTTACATCTACCTTTGAGATAAATATCTGATCCTACCCAAATCCTGACTAATAGCGCGAAATCGTACTGTGGCATATGCTTTGTTTACACGAGTTCTGCTACACTAATATATGTTCTTTTTTTCTTTTCTTGAATTTTGAATTCTTTAGTGTGAGATACTTTTATAAACATAAATATATGACATATAAATTGTATAATATATAAACTAAATAATAAAATATTTAAAGAGAGAAAAGAGAATGAGAAAAAGTTTTCATTCATTTCAATTTCTGATATTAATTATGATGTAATTAAAGTTCTAAATTAAATTTCTGAAATTGTTGAGTTAATAATAATGTTGAAAAAAATAAATTTGTAGAATAAATATTTGACATACGAGCTATCTCGATATTATTTATTGTTCATATGCATATATGTGTATTTAGTAATCAAAAAGACGTTTCGACACAAGACATTTAAAACAGCATTTAAAAAAATGATGATTGTGGAATCGAAGAACATGGAAAAGTATAATAAATTCGCCCCAAAAATACAAATTTTGCGAGTGAAAGTTTAAATTTTTAAATTTAATTTGCTTTTGGGCTGTAAAGTAAATGTCGTGGCAATCGATGCGTAGTCTAATAATTAGAGGGAAAAACCGCTACGAGTGGATATCATTAACATATTTAAGTATTTAAAATTCAAGACGTATAGCACGAGTGCTAGCCAACATTAAATCCAGCGATTATAAAAAAAAATTGCTAAGTTTACGCGAATCTCTTCTCGACTAGATATTAATTACTGTCGGAAATTAATAACATGAGTCGTGTATTTACCTGGGTGAGATATCGCAGCTCTGTTGCATAAACGCCGCCAGAGCGAACCAGAGGCTATTTACAATGCTGAAGTCGTTGGCCATGCTGGAAGTTGGCATATGAGGAGAACCTTGCGGCGTGTGTGGATGCTGCAAACCGGGGTCGTTTCGTCCACTAATAGCTGAATCTGTGCTACCACTTATGGTTAGAACTCTCCATTCATATGGCGAAAACCTATTATTGAAGAAAAATTTTAAAAATTGAAGACTTCTCAAGAATGTTTTGTTATTTCTAAAATATAAGAGGATAAAGAATGTTTAAGAAGCGTTTAAGAAAATATTTCTAAATGTTACTTTATATTTTTTATATCTTGTAATTGTGTTATGCAATATGTGTTATATATATATACTGATACTTCAACCATAGTCATTGAAAAATCATCAATATTAATTAGTGTTTTATGGAATGGGATTGCATATCCCAGATTACGTAAATAAATATGTCATTCAATACGTAATAATGCAGATTGCTTGGCTTATTATGTCAATAAATTAAAACTTACATCTGTAATTTTATATGCGTGTGATGACGTAGTAGATTTATTTTGAAGTTAATGCATGATGTATTTAAACATCACTTTACAAAAAATTTGAAAATTGGATTGATATTCTAAATCCGACGGTCATATTCTCAAGTAATGTCACGCACGTCGTATGCATCACCCGTACCAAGTAGAAGATCTCGTTCAAATGATGTTTAAAGTGTCTCATTAATTACGGGACTATCTAAAAACTTTCTCCCCTTACTCGTTCCACCCTCGTTAAAGACTGAGAGTTCTCGCAAATCTAGTCAAGATATCTTAATAGTTGCATGTAATGTCAATTACTTGGCTGCACTATTTCAGTGCAAATATAATGGATGACTTAAAATATAATTTTTGATCTTTATGTGATTGAGCTAATATAAGTTATTAGCTCAGTCTTTATTTGATTTATTATCGACGAAATACTGCGTTCGATCGTAATGATGCAAGCATTAATAAGCAAGAGAAGAAATGTAAATACGTAGCAAGATGTAGAAGTGTGACAAACGTAATTTGTAGCTTGTATTGTAGTAAACATAATCGTAATTGCCTTAATATATAACTGATATAGAAGGTCTATATCTAAGGTAGCTAGACTAAAAATAGACAAGGTCCTCTTTGTGATTGATTTTAATGCTGTTAATATGAATGATCAATTCTTCGCTTAATTGTGAAATGAGAACTGCATCGATTTATCTTTTCATAATTTATACTTGGATCAACTACGAATTAATAATATATTAGGTTCTAATAAGATACGTTTCGCTAATCATTAGTATGGAAAAAGGTGAATCGATAATAAGCGTTGTGTCGACCTTTAACTCGAATTATTATATTTAGTCTAAAAATATTCATTTTTTATATTTAAATTTTTCATACAAAAAGATTACAATTCTTGATAAAAAGTTTCTTACCTCGATACAATAAACAAGACGATAGAAACTGCGATGTAAGAGAAAATAACGCACACCCAGATCTCCTTGCTCAGCGGATTCAGAAAACTGAAGACCCCGGGTTTTTGTTTAATGGGTTTTTTTATCATGATACTAATGCCGAGAGACATAAACGGTTTACTAAAATCGATCACGCGTTCACGTTCAGAAGTGATGGTCAGAGGAGCAATTGCTATGTCGGCTTCCTGCGAATCGAATAAAATAATTGATGTAAATATTAACATTAAAATTACGATTAAATAATACAAAGATGAGAAAGCATTAATTTTTAAATATTCTAATAAAAAAAGACATGATTATAATAAACATACTAATTGAAAAAAAAAAGGAAATATCAAATAAACTTTAAATTGTAAAATATTTCCGAAGAAAACATTAATCATCTTATATATCAACTATTAATTACAATAATTTACATATTTCTTGAGCGTAATTATAAATGTAACTAGAGAACAAAGACGAATAATGAGATAAAACTGAAGACAAAGAAATATGATGACAGGATTTACTGTGGCGATTATGCATAATTTGTGCTTTTGGTTCTGCAGTTAGATTTCTCTTCTTCAATTATTATTACATTCATAGCTGAATCTTGTTTACATAAAATTTGGGAAAGAAAAAGATCTTAAAATTGCATAATCTTTCAAAGCGCCTTATGATAGAATTCTCAATTTTATCATACTTTTGTTTTCTATTCTCAATATTTTCTGAAGCGCGGAAGCGGGCATACCTACGTGAGATGTAACTGAAAGCTCGGGTGCTTTGGACTTATCCTAAATTCCCACCAGATGGAACTTAAAATCGAATCGCAACTAACGAGCTTGCAAGCTCAGGGCATCTAGTGGAGCAGGTTCAAACTCGCTATCGGGAGATAAAACAGCTCCTTCGTAGGGCATTTGAACTATACGACAGCGCGACGATCAATAGTCCCCCTCGTGAGAAGCTGGGTTCAATTACTCGAGGCGTCTTTCCGCGTAAACTTCCGGGGAGACCGATTTCGGGAGAGAAAAAGTGTTTCACGTTGAGGATGTAGCGGATACAACGAAATTACTGGAACTTACCTTTCTGATAAGCTCCCCGACCATACCGTCCCAACCGCCTGAAACGTCCTGGTTCTCCGTGCCGTGTTTTCTGTCCTTCACGATCCGCAGCTCGTCTGAAAATTTGTAAGAAAGTACTTTATGGGGTGCGCGAAACAGCATTTCTTCTGCGGAACTTTTTCCATTATCGATTCCGCCCGCGGAAGAGGCTTCGTTACGTCTTTTAGGTACTTGTCAAGGGTGGGGCTGACTTCGGCAAATTTTGCTCATAATAAAAGTAATTCTTGCTTGAATTATTAATTCTTGTGCGAGTTAAATGAGAGTCGTTAGCATTAATAATTAAAAATTATTCGGAAGCGTACGCTGCCGGAGGGAAGTACCGAAACAAAGACTTGCGGTCTCTTTCTTCTCTTTTTCTTCAACGTTGTTCCAGTACTGTATTTAATAGACGTTAAGTAAATTTCAAGAAAATAAATGTTTTGTATAAAATGATGATATTTAATATTTTATAATAATTAGATTATTTTTACTTTGGATAAATGTGATGTTCATATTTTACATTTATACGTATTAATTTAATATATGTAATATATAAAGTTATTAGAGATATACGAATAGTTTGAATTTAAGTTAAATCGAATCATAATGGATATTTTTCGTTTATTTAAAAAATTTTAAATGTCATTGAAAATACTTTATTACTTTTAAATTAGCTTTCAATGCAAATCCGAGAAATTTTCGATTCGTTTCGAATAAAAAAGATTCGATTCGATTCGATTTGATTTGACCTTATAAATACTTGGTTTTTCATATGTCCAAAATTTATATATAATTTATTAATAATTATATTTAATATTAAAGAGAGAGAGAGAGAGAGAGAGAGAGAAAGAGAGAGAGAGACAGAGAGAGAGAGAGAGAGAGAGAAAGAAATAGAATTAATTTCATTACACGGTTTCTAAGAGATTAGTGCAATTTTTAAAGGAAATTATTTGTCACAACAAACTTACATGATATGCCCAATTTCTTCGCTATAAGATCAGCTAAGTCTTTGCAGTATCCTTCATAACCGTCATTTCCCATTAATACTTCACCTGTGTCCGATACTTTCCTCATTATGAAAGGTTCCTCCTATCAACCGAAATTATCACGTTATTGTTTTCAATTGATCTCAATCGTGCACGAATTGCATATATTACAATATATGAACACACAAATGAACTTACCAATATTGTAGTAACGATGTAGGTTTTATTCTTTTCGATTTCGTGCGGACGAAGTCGCACGTATTTTGCGGCTATTGGTTGAAAACCAGCCTCATCGGTCCATTCAGCAACCTGTAACAATAAATTACATATATGATTCGCTTAATGTAGTTTTTAGTTCCATATAAAAAATTAAGATAAGTTAGTCGAGATAAATACTTGACTTCTTAAATAATTTATATATTTTAAATTGTAAGTTATCAAGTATTCAAATTAAATATATAAATGTTATAAATAGACTTACATATTTTTTAAATAGACTTACTTTCACCATAGCGCTGTTGACAGTCATTTCGACGACGTGAAGCGTATAATTCTGTCGTCGGCCATCGTCGTTGAATCGTATCTCTCCCGTCAATCCTTCGATCTCGACCTGCACGTAAATAAATTCTAATTGCACTTTTCGTATCTCACTGTAATAAGGATATCCTGATATCCTTATTTGATATCCATGACATATTTGTAGAATAAAATCAAGAAAAAGAATAAAAAAATATATAAAGAAACAGATTATTACATAATATTTTTTGGATTATTACATAATATTTTTTATTACATAATATTTTTACAGATTATTACATAATATTTTTTATTGAAAAAATGCAAAATTTATATTTAGATTATGTTTTCTCGTTGTCAGCGAGTTCAATCTTGGCACGATAAATTGTCAAACGGTAGCGGATTAAAAGGCAAAAAAAAGTTACGAGAGTAACAGCATGTATACGTAAGAGCGGAATGACGGAGGACTATTTGACGCGAACGCAGGAATTCCGCTAGAGTCGGAATAACCGCCAATTACTGTCAAGAGCAGAGATACGTCGAGGAGGGTCCGTGGCAATTTCGGTCGCCACGGTATTTTGCAACACATTGAGTACTCCTGTCCTCTGGATTGCGTCTCGGGAATTTGAAAATAAATTACCTATCTCTACAATTACGCGTACGTACTATAGAAGTATAAATTTGAATGATACGATAACATATTTAACGATAGTAAACAGTCATTAAAAACTGATAATAGAAATTTAAAATTCTACAGTAGTAATTTACGCTAATTCGCTTATTTACTTGATTCAATATACCTTGGTCAGCAATGCATAATTCATATGGTATAAGATTTTAAAGATTTATAAATATGTAGATAATGATACGTTTACATATATTTACATATTTGAAAAAAATGTAATATTACATATTTAATCAATAATAATTTTAAGAATATTACGTGTGTTATTGCATTAGTTTTTGCTAATGGAATATTCATTTACCTTTCTTAAAAGTCTGGAGATTTTATCGCCGTGTTCCCACGGAGTAACCCAACCGCGATTGTGGTAGCAGTCTAAAGGTTTGGTTCCGTTTATAGTCTGATTGCTGGTCGATGTTACTCGTCTCATATTATTTTTGTCATTCCTCTTTCTCAAATGTTTGTTGAAGGCTTCAACCAGGACGAACACAGCGTCGTACATCAGAGCGGCTTGTGCCTAATTTTGATACACGTGCGCAATGAATTAATTCGTACAGTTTTTATACATTGCACAAATGTAGAAAATAATTCTTTTCTGCTTTCATTTTCCTCCGAAAAAAAAACTCTGATTTCTAATGAGAGACTCCATTCCTTAATAGGATCAAGAATTTCGCGAGATCGAGGGAGGAATTCATCATCACGTTGTGGTGTACGTAAATTCACAGAGACAAGAGTACCTCGGGCACTTCGCCAGTGTTGGAAAACCGCGTTTGGTGCTCGCTGAATATAACGATCGGGCACGATAATCGTTGCATTAGATTGCATGCGGCCTGTCTCCGAGAGAGCTTTCAGATCCATAGATAGTGTCCCACACAACTTTACCCCGAAATCCCGTTAGTCGTGTATCCATTTTAGAGATTATATTCGTCGCTTCTTGTAGCACAGCGAAATTCACGCAAAACTGTCGAGTTAGTACGTTTCTTAATATATGATTTCATGGGATTAAAAATAAAATAACAAATAACTATATCATAATCATGATCATTATCAATTATTTATATAGACAATATTTTGCTTCTTAATAAAATGTGACAATAAAATTTTACGTTTTATGGAGCATTATAGATCGATATTATCATAATGTTTTTCATAATTATAACTAGGTGTCAACGTTTTTAAATAAATATAATAAAATAAATAGATATTAAAATTTAATATTTTTTTATCTCGATTAGAATCTAATTTCATACTTAACTCAGATCAATTTCAACCTAGATCTAACCTAGTTTAAATGTTATACTACTAGTAATTATCGAATGAAAAAATCATTCATTGACAAAGAGTTTTATAAAACAGTAATTTTAGAGAACTGCATTGTCCCGCATTGTTATACATTCGTTTTTGTTAAACTCATACAAAAACCTAGAAAAAAATATTAACGCGGGGACGAAGTAAAGGTCATTAAGAGGAAAGCGAAACACAATTCGCACGGACGGATACGGTTGAGCGAGCGGCACTTTATAAACGCGCTGAAAAGTCCAAGTTTCTACATGCGGGTGCTGTTTAACAAGTTTGGTCTCAAGCCGCTGTGTACACAAAGACACACGAGCAAGCGAACGACACGAGATCGCGCGTGCGAACGAATCTGCGACGATTCTTGTTTGATTCTCGTTTCTCGTACGAAACTTTCGTACTGTCGCCGTCGTCGCCCGTCGTTGGACGGGTACTCTAGGAAAGCGAAGAAACCTAAGAAAGTGTTCGATCCACCGGGAGGAAATCACCACACTCGGCAGGCATTCCGAGGATTTCGCACGAAGGGTAGTTTCCCCTCTGGACGCAAACCGTGAAAGCATGTAGAAGCCACCGACGAAGGACAGCCGTGAGAAAAAGTGACGACGGGGTCTCGCAAGGGAGGTGCTGCTGATACGTGAACATATACGTACGGAAATGGATTCACGACCGGCGCCTTGAGACGTGGCGGGATCCTGACGATGCCAGTTGGCTAAGAAATCCTTGACGTGAGGTCGAGTGGCGTCCACGATGCGAAAGCCCGTGATGTTGATGGCGCCATACTCGATCACTTCGCTCTCCCATCGGTCGTCCATTATCTGATTACAGCAAAATATACAGGAGTATTGGTACACGAAGGGAATACAAGGGATCTACGAGATATACAAAGCTATTCTTGTTCACTTGCGTGATAAAGGTTGCTAGTCTTACAGCTCCTATTTCAGCTTTCGGCGTTCTAAAGGGACAGTCTATAGTTTCGCGAAAAGCGTCTGCCTACCAACGAGGTCCTTGATCTTTCGTCGCGTCTTTAAAGTCGACTCGAGAACAGGCACTTGAGTCACTGTAATATTATTACCACGTTTCCTTTGTTCTCTTATGAAAAACGTAAGAAGGACTGACGTCTCGATTTCAATTTAGACCTGCTGTATTTAATTACTTGAACTCGAATGCAGGTAGCGTTCTAATTTTATGCTGATATTGCGTCGTTACTGCGTATTACGCGCGGCAAAACCTCGAAACTGTGAAAAGCTCGTCATTTGTATTAACGTGCGGCAATTCTTTCGAACGAGATGAGAAGACGAGGGAAGCAAGAGGAATGGAAATTGATACGTTCTGCGTTCGCCACCACGAAGTGTAAATGCTTGCAAAACGATAAATCCAAATAAAATTGCGATTACTTATTTTCGCGATTGTTAAACTAACGAGCAAAGTATGGAGAACAGATTGGCTACGTTTAGCAGAGAAAATAGATCAGTGAGCGCTCAATGATTCTTTAATATAATTGGTTCCTATACTTACAATTAGATTTAGCGAAGAACAAAAGGTAAGAACCAATTATATTAAAGAATCACTAAGTGCTCATTGATCGGTTTTCTCTGCTGAGTGCCGGAAAATAACGGCGATACTGGAAGAAACACTTTGAAGCGGCATAATAATGATTTTGTTTAAAATTAAATTAATAATATTGAACTAATAATAGTTGGTTTCTAATTGCAATGTGTTATTATTAGATTTCGCATCTCGTATAGCTCGCGGCTGATTTGTTCACTATTTTACTACTGCACAGCCATTCTACCATCATCCATCAACCGGTTGGAGATAATACATGGACGGTGTTAACGTTGTATGCGTGTTTAACTTCGTCGCAAACGAGTTCGCCACGTTACCAGTTTAATTTGCTGGTCTGATATCATCCCATCCGCCATTGCAGCGTTGACTTTTGAACTTTTACATTTGCGGTCAGAGAGCGGATAAAGTTTTGTAATATCCGACATTGCTAGTTGTTCAACAACTATTAGGCTCGTATTTATACTCGTATTTCTACTGAGGAACTTAAAGAGGCCAGAATGTTGTAGATTTATAAATATGGTGGTGGAAATTGGTGTGAAGGATAAAGTTGTCTAAGGTGTTCTCTCTCTCTCTCTCTCACTCCCTAATTAAACGTTGGCAATTGTCCCCTTCGGTCGTTGAATTCTCAAGTCGATGATTGGTGGAAGAGAGATGAAAGTAAGAGGTAAAGAGAAAGGTGTAAAAGGAAGTGAATTGCAGAAAGCGGGGAAAATGCGAATGTGCGAATCGACACGTCTGCGCAACCGTTTCGAGAATGACGCGATAAATGACAATGGCGTGCTTCGTAGAGAGATGGAACTAGATGTACATGCAGGTATGTACAACTATCTTCTCCGTCGCCGGAGTGTAATGCTGCCTGCTCTTCCGCAGCAACTCGCTGGAAGCCGCTAAACACAAGCAAACTATCCTCTAAATTCTAAAGTACGGCGGAGACATCACCAGCGAAGATCTCGCCCCCCACGACGGAACGTTTCGTGTCAGTTTGAGTGACGGTTCTCGCTTGTTTCGAAAATTTCACCATGCTGCGAATTAATCCCGCCATCCTGTTATAACGCAGATGGTGTACAAGTGAGAGCACTTTCGCGCAGTAAAGCGAAAGTCACTGTTTTGCATACGGAATTTTCCGGCTGGAGAAGCTTAGGAATAAAAGTCACCGATATTTAAATGAAGAGGAAGAAATTCTTGAATAATTGCAAAATAATAAGTTCTATTTATTTTAGGCTCGAATATATCAATTTTATAAATAACCTTAGTTAAAATAGTTATTAAAATAAATAGTTTAAATTTTAATTTCAATCATATTGAAGATAAAAATGTAATTTTACTTTTATATAAGTTTAATGATAACGTCTAACACTATTTTGGAACACACGAGTGTGAATACCAGATATATTTTTGCGACACCCGAATCCGTCGTTCAAAAGAGAGTGCAATCTTTTTTGCGGCCGTTCGGAGATTTTATTTCTACATTTTCTTATGTATTTTTTTTTATAAAAATTGAAAAGTATCATAATAATAGCGACAAAGAAAAACTGGTACATTGAAATAAAGTCAATAAAATTTTTATTCACATCGTTACGAAATCGCTGTCAGTTATGCTTCAATCATGTAAAAACTAGTTCAGAGAATTGGATCAACAACTCTGAATTAGTTTTTAAATGAATGAAGCGTAACTGACAGCGATTTCGTAACGATGTGAATAAGGATTTTATTCTTTATTTCAATGTATCAATCAATATATCAGTGTAACGTCACTATTATAAGCATTTTTGGCTTTTATAAAAAGAAATACATAAAAACATGTTGAAGCAAAACGATTCTCAAACAGTTGTGAAAATTAAGTGAAGTAAACTATGTAACTTTCTTTTAACTATATAACGTCATCATTTTGAGAAAAACGGCATCAAAGAGGTAAAAAAACAATGATTTTGAAGTTTTGTAAATACAGTACAGGACAATTATAATCTTAAATCACACACACATTGAAGATTATAATTTTTCTGCCACATTGTGTTTTGTTAATTTTATATTATTTTTTTATTTACGATCAGATTATATAATGTAAGTAAAAAAGCACTTACTTTCCATAATGCAGTATTGATGGAATAAAATACCTTTTTTTATATTTATATTATATGTAAAAAGAGCTATTTTCAATTACTATATTTCGAAAACAAAAAATCGTGCTGAAACGAAATGCATTTTGAAGCTAAAAGTTGGTACTTTTACGTGGCGTTAATGCAATTAAAACAAAATTTGCTGCCGATGCTGCAACGTCATGCAAACTTTTAAAATTGTCGTTTTTTTTTTATCTCTTTGATGCTTTTTTCTCAAAATTGTGTGATGTGATAGCCAAATTTGAACAAAGGATTCGTGTTCAGTAGGCAAAAATACATCAGAAACAGCTATTCACATTCGTGTTACAAAAACGGTCAAATTTTATCGGACAATGTTATTGTTCATTTAAAAGATTAACACAGCATTTTGAAAAGACATTTCAAGCGAGCAATTTGTGGAAAAAATGTTTATTGGGTACTGCGACTTGGAAAGGAAAATTAACTATGAGATAGAAAGAAAGTGATACTTGGTATCGCTAAATGATTGAATTGAATGTGAACGGTTGAATTAATTAAGTTCTATGTTACTCGACTCACCAAGCCACTCAGCAGATAATGATACGTCCTCTTTCCCAAGGCTACGTCTCTCACATGACTCACAACGATATCTTTCGCCATGTCCGTTGGACAGTCGAGAACGACGTATTTGTTACTCCATCTGTAATATTTTAATGACATTTACTGGGATTAGTTGTCCACGCGGGAGAAGACATAAGTCTCGCACGCTGGTTCGCCGCAATTCGCGCGCTGCGTTAACGCGTGGCTTTGTCGCATTTGATCGATGCACCGCGGAGTTTCCACGCTCATTTCGTTTGTAATAATTGGATATTGTATGGCAATTTGCAATAACGCCGTTGTTTTCGGTAACTACCACGCCCGGCCAATTCAAACCACCGCGATGGCAATTACTCGCTGTTGTTGATTACTTGCGTCGCGCAAATGCGTAGCCACTGGTGAATTGCAATGCAAGCATGCCAACTTGTGCTACGACGAGCCTTATCCATCACGCCGTTGGTGAGCCATTTTACAAGAAAATAACAATCGTACTAAACAATCAACGAGCACAGAAATGGGTACAGTATTTCAACAGCTGCATTCCCATTCTTCTATTGAAGATAAAAAAAACTTAAAATACAACATGTATTTTAGTCGAGAGAAAAATAGTTAATAAAAGTTAACGATGTCGGAGTGCAGTGTTTAGACATTTATCGCTAAATTTTTACATATAAATATCGCAATCGTAAATTTTTCAATCATGGCTTTTGATCCTTTTCGGTACGAAAAATATAGAAAATTTAAATTAAAAAATTCTAAAGAGAACGTAGAAAATAGATTTAGACTTTTAAATTTTTAGACCTTTAGATTTTTTAATTTAATATTTTCTATATTTTTTTGTACTGAAGAGGACTAAAAACGTAGTTGAAATGTTTGTGATTGCGACTGCGATACTTGTACAACATTTTAACAATAAATGTTTAAATACTACGCTTCAATATCCGCATTGGCTTCCATTGACTATTTTTACCTCTTTTTTTATTGCTTCACTCTTAGAGCCTTTTTTATTTTTATTTTTATTAATATTTTAATTGAATATAGGCAAAATTGGTTTTAATATTATAGATAGTATAACATCACGCATTATTGTAAATGCTCCCAAAGTTTTACTTTTTTATTTGTTGAATATATCTTGTAAATATAAGATGATAATAAATTGTGGAATTAATTAATTTTTAAACTTATATATTTTCTTATATAATATCTCGGAGTAAATTTCATTAAAATATATGTTTGGAACATATTACAAATAATAAAAAAATAAACATAATAATATTCACATTTATCAATATCAGGTGTGAATACTAAGCACTTCTATGTTGTTTGCAGCAGAAGGTGTCGTGCTTTTTATTTATGTGTGTCATAGGCTTCAATGAAAAAGACTCACCGATTAAGCTCCTCCAAGCTACGTAGGAAATCGATCGCCTCTGACACGTTCTGTATTCTCTTGACGGTTTCGACTTGAAAGGAGTCGTTGCCTGGTTTCAACCCCTGATAAATCTGCTGCAGCCTGAGTAGTCCTGAAACCCACGGGCGTTTAATTAAATTATAGGAAACGCTTATATGCGCACTACGCTATATGGGTTCGACATAGGCTCGAGTTACCACTTGTCGTTGTGTGTGTCTTCCGAAAATTACATACGCACGATTGCATGTTACATAGACCATGTCGTAATTCATTGGCAGCCTCTGTTCAGTCTGCGGTTTCTCGCGCAGTGTGAAATATCGCCTGTCTACGGGCAATGCCTCTAAGTTATAGAGAGTGTCGTAGATTGTTCGATTTGACCCGCCTCATATTTTTGGCAACGACAAAATTTAATCGCATCATAATGCATCGTTGCAGTTGCGGTGTATATACATATATATGTGAATCGATATTACCATGATGTCACAATTGTAATACATTCTTACAGTTGTTTTAGATATTTTAGATTTAGTTTTTTTTTATATTTCTCTATGTAGCATTATATATTTTGTTTTAAATTTTAATAGTATATAAGAAAATGAGAAAAATGAAAAGGTCATATTTACATAAAAGATTTAAATAATCCATTATTTTTTATGAGACGCAATGCTTAAAAGATCAGTTTTTTTAAATAAACGCGATATTTCTCTCTTTTCTATAATTTGCCTGTCTCAATTTCTTTTATCGGTTAAATCTTCATAGCACTTAAGAAATGAATTACATTGAAAACGAAGGAAAGTAGTCATTTAAAATATAAAATATTCATACATTTTATGTGTATGTGATAGATCGAAATGAATTGAATTTCTGATGCAGATATTCACATAAATTCGCGGATCAGTATATTCCTCTACCAATTCAAATATCCACGCATTTCCAAATATATAATCATACAAATACACATATATTACGTATCTGTAGTTTCAGGCAAATACACTATTCGAATTATATGCAGTATGTTATCGGGAGATACGATCAAATACCAGTATGTGCTCATGCACGCGTGTACGAGGGGTAACGAGAGCGAACCCGAGGCAGGGGTAGATTCTGATCGGACGTCTCGTAAATTTGTGGAGGAATCTATGGCATTACAAAATAGAGAAACACTATTTAATCACGCTCATTGCACCGCGAGATCGCACCAACGTCTTAAGCGCCTGCTGTGCACATTTCGGGTCATTCGCCCCAGCATAACAACGCACTTGACCTCCCCCGAACTCGTCGTTACTTTTACGATCGCGGCCAGCCGGCGTAAGTTACGGCGGCGTATTGCACGACGCAGACGTGCGGTGAGTTACGGCGTAAAGAATTTTTGCTGGCGGTTCCACGTCGCGGTCGCGCGATGAAAACATCACCCGGAAAAAAAATTGGCAAGACGCGGAACGGTGCTTCCGGACATCGCGGCGGAGGCTGCAAGAAGAAGCTCGAAAGAGGGGAGGATTCTCAGATGGGAGAGAAATATGAGGGCCTGGTTATGCGTTAAAATATATTTCGCGAAAGGTGATATTTGCTCCGAGAAAGAAATAATTGGAATGGAAATATATTATTTTTTCTAACTCTAAATTCGTGCGCGTGCGTATAAAAATATATAATACAAGAATGATAAAATAAATAAGATTCTGAAAATAAATCAAAATGAAAGCCTCTTAATAAAGCCCTACGCAAATATACACTGAACAAAATTTACTAAATCTTAATACATATTTCTTTGAATAGTATTAAGTAAGCATTTATTTACTGTAAATATTTATTGGATATAAAAAATGTTAGTTAGATCAAATTGTTTTTATATCAAATAAATATATGTTTACATTTAAAAAATAAATATTTACTTAGATTATTCAAGTAAATATTTATTAAAGTTTAATATTTTTTTGTGCAAATGCGCAAATAGATGTATTGTTAAATTACGTAAAGTCAAAAATTACAAACGTTTTGATTTTCGTTTCGATCCTCTTAATGTAAACGTATAAAAATGCTAAGCGTGTCTAAGATGATTGTAAACCGATGAAAATCTTTATCATATTATTGAAATTACGATTGAATAAATGTTAACAAAGTTGTTTTAATTAAAGTCTGAAATTAATACAAAAATGCATTCTCATCCTGATATTTGGGGGAAAAAAATCTTTATCGTATCATTGAAGTTGCGATCGAATAAATGTCAATACAACTCTTTTAACTAAAGTCCAAAATTAATACAAAAATGTTTTCTCGTCCTGATATTTGGGCAAGAGAAAAATTTGTCTAAAAAAATACATTCTTTAATTTTTGATACAAAAGGAAAAATGGGACAAAAGCTCTCAATTATTCATGTTTATATTTTAAATCTCGTTGCATCTCTCGATATTTAAATAAAAGGATTTGTGTTTGCGTAATAAAAAAAAAACGTGATAGGAAAGAGGAAAGCATTAATACAGCTTAATGGGACGCCGGATGCAGGAAACATGGTGTTAGAACGCGAAACGTATCTGGTTCTATCGCTATATTTTTTCTGCCGTCAGGCACGAGAAAGATGACCAGGTTAACGAGCACGAATCTGAAACTGCGCGCATACATACATGTTCGTTCGAGCGTTGCAAAAGAGCTTGACATTTCGATGAGTGCTATTGGTTTCTCGCGAATGCCATTCTCACTTCAATTTCAACCCGCATTTTTCTTTCGACGATGACTCTGACACCGTCACCAATGTCTAATTCGACAATCACTTCCACTGGCTGCATCTCATCATTACTCAATGGAAAGAAAAAAACTCGAGGGTAATTTAAAAACGAAAGAATACAAATTAATGAAAAAAGTTTGTTTTTTTAATGAATCATTTATAAATTCAATATCATGCATATGAAAATGAAAGCATAAAAATGAAATTCAACAAAATAATATTCCGAATTAAATAACGCTCTTAATTTACCATTGATTTATGTCACGGTGAATTATTTTTCTTTAAACATTCCAAGAGATCCAAAACTTCGAAGCAAAACCGATCCCGCGATGTCAGAATTTGACTATACCGGATTAACATGACGAACTGTCACGATGCGTTTGCATCATGTGCATGTAGAGACGTAACGAAGTTTTTAATTACAAGTTTACATTATCTCGTCAAATTTCATATTCAATATCAGATTTCTTTACATCTCGGAAAGCCGCGTCACGACAAACCTGCGACTCATCAAACGCACAATTTATCTGACGTATATCGGGAACACACATAAGCTCCCTCGTTATGGTTCCATGTACACGATCCCTTTAGTCATTACAGTTGAGTAGCAAGTACAAGAGACGTTGGTAATCGTGGAGTTGCCTTTGAAGCCTCGATGCTCGTTTGTAACGCATACGTGTGCACAATATCCATATCATCGAGAAATATGGATCTGCGTGCCGCATCGTATAGAGTAAATAATAATTTTGAAATTTCAGAGAACTTGTGTCGAGGCAAGGCTTTGATGTCATTCGTTTCATTAGCGCAATTACAATTTCAGCAAGCGTGTCTGTAAACACCTATATACTGTGAGCTTAGAGTGTTTGTGGTGCATTAGGAATCTCATTTGACGTTTTATATTCGCAATGTAAAAAATGTAAGTGCGGTTCCTGGGCCAAAATAATTATTTTATTGAAACGTTGTGTTTCAGATTACATGAACATTCAATGATGCAGATATACGACAAACTTATACACAGTTTCTAGACATCTCTAGAAGATTAAATACATACGCACGAATGAATTGCATTAAATAGAATCGTAACTTAAATTTTAGTTGTTTCTATTTGAGAATTTTCTCTCTCTCTCTCTCTCTCTCTGAGAATAAACTTAGATTGTTATCTACAAGAAAAGAGAATTGAATACCTTGGATTTTTGTTGAATCGTCCACTATCCCAACAATTTATATAATTGCATTCTTTATTTCGTTTTTTTTTTAAAGATATATTTCTATGAGAGAGAGGAGACATATATATGATTTATAATATAATTTGCATTTTTTCTGTGATAGAAACCTGACATTTATAGTTTTCAGCTTGATCGTAAAACGCTTATCTCGTACATTCGTATGAAAAGAAATTGACTTGATATCATGGGTGCGCGTGAAGCCATGACAAGACACGCGATCCAATTGTGCCCGGTGACATTCAATATATTCCGAATCACGAAGCGACCTGCCGACTTCCGTGTCCCATTTGCAGCTACGAACCGACTAATTATCGACGCGTCGTCGACGTCGATCGGCAGGTACAGAAAGCTAAGGGAGAATGGACCTGCATGCCGGCGTCACGGCTGCAATATTTGCGAGTGGTACGCGAACAATTCTCTCCTCTTTCTCTTTTTCTCTATCTCTCTATGACTAGGAGATAATTTGAAAATATCCTCCCTTAGCAGTGCTTTATTGCAGAATGTTTTATTACATTTCATAAATTTTACTATTCCAAATAAATAAATAGTAAATTCTGTGTACTTATATCAGTTAAAATATTGCGTTTATTACAAATTCTAATATTAGATTAAAAATGATTTCTTAACATTCTTTTTATTTAATTGGTTTCTCTAAAATTATTTTCTCTTCAATTTATTATTATATTTATTTTGTAGACTCTGATGCACTTGTTTGTTTAAATCTCTTGGGCAACTCGCCAGTTTACTCGGAAACTAAGAATTAATTGCAAAACACGATCTTCATGAAAGTTCGACCGAACTGTAGTTTTATGAATTTGTATGTCTGGCTTCAGAGCATTTAATAGTCTTCATTAGATTTGAATCTCTCCTAATATTTACTAATAATAATACCAAAATAATAACAATGTTTATTATGAAAGTACGGACACTATTTTCACTTGTCAGATAGACAAATGAAGTTTAACAGAGAGGAAAATTGAAATGCACCCACTAATCAGCGCTGGCTTAACATGTACGCTTAAATCAGACCAAGCCGATTAAAATTTGAAATTTCTCTTCATTCTATTATTGAAATGGCCAATTAGGAGGAATGGATTGAGTTACGAAGCAAATTAAATTTAGGAATACATTATGACATCGAAAAAAGTTAATCCAAACGTTAGTTAC